TGCTCCTGGTACAGCACTGCTCCTAATCCAAAAGAACTTGCATCAGTGTGTAGCTCAAAGGGCTTGCAATAATCTGGATACCCAAGGATTGGAGGTGATGTAAGGGCATCCTTCAGCTTCTGGAATGCAGCTTGCTGACTAGTCCCCCAATGCCAGGGTAATCTTGCTTCCGGCTTCTTTCCTTTCGGTCCTTTCTTCTTCACTGTTGGAGGTAAGAGATCACTAAGTGGTCGGGCTATGTTGGAAAAGCTCTTCACAAATTTCCAGTAATAGCCAGCAAAGCCAAGAAAGCGGCGAACTTCTTCAGGGTTGCGTGGAGTAGGCCAGTTCACAATATTTTTAGTTTTAGCAGGATCTGTCTGGATCCCCTCAGCTGAAACAATGTGACCAACAAACTTCACCTTCTCCCTGAAGAATTCCCATTTCTTGGGGTTCAGCTTGATTCCACTCTCCCATAGTCTCTGTAGGATCTTCTCTAGTCTGACTAGGTGGTCCTCAAAGGTGTTGGAGAAGACGATGAGATCATCTAAGTAGATCATACAAAGTTCGAGGTGCAGATCTCCAAGCATGTCCTCCATTTGTCTCTGGTAAGTAGCAGGTGCGTTCACAAGTCCAAATGGGAGTCTATTATATTCATAGAACCCAAGTGGTCCAACCGTGAAAGCTGTTCTGGCCTTGTGCTCCTCAGCAACATCAATCTGGTGATATCCTGACTTCATGTCCATGACAGAGTAGAATTTGCTCCCTGCTAACTTATCAAAAATCTCCTCGATCCGGGGTAGAGCGTAACTGTCTTTAACGGTCCGATTGTTAAGAAATCTGAAGTCCACGCACATCCTCAGGGAATTGTCTTTTTTGCGAGCAAGCACGATGTTAGAAGCCCAAGGGCTGTGTGAGCGTCGAATAATTCCACAAGCTAACAGTTGCTTGAGATGATCCTTGACCTCAGGAAACATGGCTGGTGGTATCCTCCTATGTCTCTGTTTGAATGGTACCTCATCTGTTAGCTCGATCCTGTGCTGTACAGTTGTAGAATGACCAATGTCCATATCCCCAGTAGAGAACACATCGCTGTATCTCTTTAACAGATCCTCACATAACTTCTGTTGATCTTCAGTTATTGTTGGAGATATATCCACCTTGTCCAAAGGATGTTCCATGTCCTCCTTCACCATTTTCTCAAGGTCAATTGTTGATACCTCCTCAATCCGAACTGGTTGAATCTCACACACTAAAGCTCTCGGGGGAATGACTACAGTTTGAGATGACAAGTTAGATACCTGGACCGGGATGTACTTATTTTTGTAGTTGAATCTGAAAATAGCAGATCTCCAATCCAGGTGGCACAGCAGCATTTGTTGTTTGCTGTATCATCACACAGGTATCTCGATAGGGGAGTTCCTTGTCAATGTAGCCTCGGATGGTGGTTGTGGTGTTAGGAGGGACAATGATCTTGGTACGCTCATTACACTTCACAACACCCAGCTTCCCAAAGTTCTTCTTTAGAGCCTTGTCCTGAAGCAAAATACTCCTAAAAGCTAAATACCAGGAAGTATGTAGCTCAGCTGTCTGAAGGAAGTTGGTCCCACTCCTTGTCTTGCAGTCTTCCATAAGCGGATAAAGGAAATTTGTTCCTAACAAGACTGGTACAGTAGAATTATAGGCACTATCAGGTACAACTAAACACAAACACATGCTTGGTTCCTTCAATGCCTCCATTCCACAAGTACCTACTTCTACAACAATATAACCACTATACGGAAGAGATTTACCATCAGCACACTCTATATGAATAAAGTCCTTCAGGGGCTTGATCTCTGTTCCTGAAAGGTGTTCCTTGTGGAATGACTCAGAAACAGTAGACACAGTGGATCCAGTATCAAGCAGAGCCTTGCATGATATTCCATTGATTGTAACTGATGTTTCACTTGCTGATCCAATGAGTCCAGGAGGTAGCTGAGGACGAACTTCAGTGGGGCTCTGTCTATATGAACCTAACGTCTGCCCCTTGACATAGGTCCTCTCCGGTTTAAATATACTCGTCTGTGGTCTGTCCTGATCAAACAACCAATCTGGAGGTGTCCAGGTTGTCCACAGTTGTAACAGCAACGCTCCTCCCTGCGCTGTGGTCTATGAGGTAAGTGTTCCACTTCCCCTTGAGGTGCAAAGTCCAGGCCTTGCATGGCTCCTGATATCCTTGGTGGTGCTGGAGGAAGTCGGTGCTCCAAGTTATCCATTTTAGCTGAAAGCTTGAAAATAATCCCCTTCAGCTCTGATATCTCGGAGCTCTCGGCTATAGGTGTAGCAATGGCTTGCTTAGCTGGAGCTGCTGACGAGGTCTTCTGTGGTTGAGTTTTGAACTCCTTCATCCTCACTTCTAGTCCATACTCTATTCGACGGATCTCTACCCTGAGACGGTCAAAATCTGTGATGGTATCGAACTTGTGGCCGCTAATGTCCTTCAGTTCTTGACGTAGACCCATCCAGAACACATTACGGAGCATCTGGTCAGCATCCATGTCCTTCAAGAAACCTTGACTCTTGACATCATACAAGAGGTCTTCAAGTCGACATCCCCATGTAGTCACATCTTCAGAAGGACCCTGTCTTGCACTGTAGAACTGGGCTAGGAGGGTCTCTCCTACCTCGCTAGGCTTGAAGATACTCTTAAGTTTCTCAAATATTCGGGAAATGGAAGCTGAAGTCGCATCACTACTCTAGCTGCATTACCACGAAGAGAACGATGTATAGCCTGGATGACATCTTCTCTAGGGTGAGTCTCATGTTGTAACAAACGCTCAACCTCATACTGCCATATATCAAAAGAAGCTTCCCCCTTGGCTGCAGGATCACCTGAAAAAGAGGACAACCTTGGTGTCTGTCTGACACTTAGGCTCTTAAAACTCTGCAGTGGTTCTGTTGGGTTATGTCTGAACGAGGCATATGGTACTTCTTCTGTCTTCACTTGAGTTGGGACAGTCGAATGGCTCTCCATCCACTGTTTGAGTTCAACACCAGATCTTACATCTGGGTCAACTCCCAGCTTCTGAAGAGAAGCCATGACTGTCTCAAACTCCTCCTCAGATAGATCAGCCATGCTGATAATACATAGACTGCAAGGTAATAAACTGAATACTGAAATGAAGAATGTACCTGCAACCTGGAAATAACAAAGTGAGCAATATATGACGTGTCCCCTCAAAAGGTGAGTGGGGCACACTACCAAACAAAATGAAATGAGTGTAAGCCTCTGCGACAAATGGCATCCCACCAGGGATGCCATTTGTCGCAGAGGCTTATGCAGGGTAATGGAGACACAAAAGCATGCTGTTTTCACAACTGGATTTATTCCAATGATGGTCCACAATCCAGTATCTTACGTGACCCCAAACTGAATGGTCCTTTCCCAGTGAGAGTTGTGACTAGAAATCTAAGTACAATGATAATAAATATATTTAACTCACCCCAAACTGAATGGTCCTTTCCCAGTGAGAGTTGTGACTAGAAATGGTGCACATAGTAAAGGTATGAAGTACATGACCAAGGTGGTCATGTGACGCGGGAAATACAAAGCCAGGCCAAGCTGACCGGCAGAGAACAATAAGCTAGGCTGAAACCGCAGTAGCCTTAGCACAAAGAATCAATCACCACATGTTAGATTATGTTACTGAGGTGTGAGTTAGTGGACTAAGTAAACTAATTTATTTAATAAATACAATAAAATACCTATGTTTTGGATAAGTTTATACTAAACTACTTTTAAAATAATCCCAAATATATACATCCTGCCACATATCTATGCACTGTCTTTCTGAATCGACTTCTCTTTGAAGGCATGATGTGTACAGGTCGGAGCCCTGAACTTGAACGAAGGCTCTAACGCGTTCAGTACTCATGGAGTCGGGCCAGGACGGGCCACCACGCGAATACACTCGCACTAGGGACGATCGGGATGAGGACGTCGTGCGAACGAGTTGGTCAGGTTAAGAATTAGTTTGAACTGGCTTGGACGCATTGTGAACGAGGTAGAGAACAAGGTTGAACTGGTTAAGAACGGGTTGAGAATGGCTACGGACGTGCTCGAACTGCTTCGACACGTTGTCGGCATGCGGTGCACTTTTACACGATCTGAGCTGGATACACACGTACTGCAGACTGGCCAAGAACGAGATAAGAACGAGATAGACGTATTGAGGACAGCTTTTGAACGAATGCGTATCGTATTTTACGCTAAACTACGCGTTCGACAGTGATCACAGCCCGTCCTAGTATTTAGTTTAGAACGGGGTAGAACAACTTTGGTGTGATGGTAGCATAACCATCAAGTGATGGTAGCATAACCATCAAGTGTTCAGTCGAATAGGTCTTGTTAGGATTTTAGCGCGCTGTCACTCGTCTGCATATTGTTTCATGTGTTATTTCATAATCACTCGGGGGCACAGTCGTCTAAAGCGCCGCGATTCACTGTGCAGAGTTGCGTCCCTTGGACACGCCAGAAACCTATGATCGTGGGTTCGAATCCCGGTTCGCCCCAATTATGTTTCTAGGTTTGTCAGCACCATACCCGAGCTCATGGGTTTCACGTAAGTGGTAAACATCCGAGACCTGCATCACTTCGGGCTTTCCTCCCACATTAAGCTGACACGCCGTGCTATAACTGGAATACTATTAAAAGCGGCGTTAAACCCAACTTACTCACTACTCACTCATAATCACTCAATGTACGCCTTTCAGTAGTCACAGTCGCTTGTCAGTATTCATTTTATTCTGATTTGCTTACTGCCGCCAAATTGTGGTCTGTGTTTACAGATGTGTCTTGCAATGATATACAAATAGTTCTCTCGCGGGCAACACATTGTTTTGTGTATCTTAACCTCGCAGCCATAAACCGTTTAAAACGTGTTTAAACGAACTTCCTTTTGAGTTCGACTTATCGTTACTTGGTAAGAAATATGTCACTTGTATGAACAGCATGTAAGTATGTTCTGCGTCCATTGTAGGTATCCCGAGACCGAGACCGGAAGCGCCAGACGCTCCAACACCGAGACCGGAAGCGCCGGACGCTCTAAGACCGAGACCGGAAGCGCCAGACGCTCCAAGACCGAGACCGGAAGCGCCGGACGCTCTAAGACCGAGACCGGAAGCGCCAGACGCTCCAAGACCGAGACCGGAAGCGCCGGACGCTCTTAGACCGAGACCGGAAGCGCCAGACGCTCCAAGACCGAGACCGGAAGCGCCGGACGCTCTAAGACCGAGACCGGAAGCGCCAGACGCTCCAAGACCGAGACCGGAAGCGCCGGACGCTCTAAGACCGAGACCGGAAGCGCCAGATGCTCCAAGACCGAGACCGGAAGCGCCGGACGCTCTAAGACCGAGACCGGAAGCCCCGGACGCTCCAAGACCGAGACCGGAAGAGCCGGACCCTCCAAGACCGAAATCTCCGAAAACTGTGAAAGCATGAAATGAGATACACCTTACTTTCTGCTTCACGCCCCGGATCGCCAACTCATCGGAACTGAAGGGCTTTGTGGCAACTGTATAACTGTTAGATTTACAAAATGTAATACCCCCTGTGGATTTAGATCAAGGCAGTTGTATGTTAGTACTGATTAGTTTACTGCCAGCGTTTCTAACTTGTGACTATTCGCCCGTTGGACGTGTCTCACGCTGTGTGAGTTCAACTTGTATCTGCTTACTCAAAGCCTCCATGCTTTAGCTTTGCTTATTTTTAGTGTTAATGAATCCTTAAACAAACAGACATATGTTTCATTTAGTAATTTTGGCACCAAGGCCCAAAGCATATCAACATTTGTCACGTGATGTACATTAATAGATTTTAAAGTTACACTTTAATACCCTGCTACAAGGGGGGAAATGTATACCATAAACGAGTATATTTTTCACATATAAGTAAAACATGGTTTTCATCCTCTTCGCCTCCTTGTAAACAATTTGTACAAACAGAATAAAATACCACCGTCTGTGAACCTGCGTCATATTCTCAACTCCAAAAGAAACGAGATGTTCGATGGGTGATATCATTAAACATAAATGATGTAAAATTATAAAATAACTACACTTTGAAAAGGACGACGTTACATTTTATTTTACATGGTAACATTCCCCAACACGCGACTTGCGATAATTGCACGCACGTCTCTGGAAAATAGATAAAACGTGTAACACTCCTTATTACCAGAAGGTTTGAGAAGATTGAAATTGATTCATCGGACACCTTGGTATCTGGTCTCAAACATTAGCTGTTGGTTTTGTAGTTTGATTTTAAGTTTGACATAAAAACACCCTGTCCCGTCTAACTCTGGAAAACTGGAAGTTGTTTGATCAAGGTTACAACATTCAAGGCCTCAGTAAAGCTTTCAACAAGTTTTATGGTAGACATGTTGAGGTCATTTCCAAATTTAACGCATCAGTGACAAAATGATGTCAGATGCAATTACCTCTTTTGACATGTACCATATGTTCCCATGTTTTTTTAAGGTGAACAATTGACTTGCCTTTCCACGTTTTTGTGACGGGTGCCACTAGTGGGGAAGGATACACTCACCCTTTCGCAAACACCTGGTATCATCACTTTTGATAGTGATTCATGTAGTCGAAAGGGTTTTGTCGCTTTATTTACTGAAGCTGGATGGAACATGTCACGAGTTGGCAGACACATTGATGTCCATCATTCCACAACTTACATGCTTCAGGAACATCACCAGTTGACCAACAGTGCAGATTATCGTCCATTAAGTGACCGACAGCGTGTGACGCTCGATAGAGAAGATCAGTTGATGGTGACGTCACATCTACGCAATAGAATCCCACGTACAACCACAGCTCCTCAAATGACGTATGGGACTCGCAACAGACCAATCAGCCATACCCGTTACTGAATGTGATTCATAAAGACTTTTGAACGTCGTGATCTTGAATCCGTAAAGATGTTTATGAAATGCTCTCTTAAGTGAAATCAAATAATTATGTTGTCATATGATGCCAATTTTGACTTGTTTCTGTTAACAAAGATCACTTTTCTAGCATGTAACTTTTACCACTTCAAATTCGCGTTGAGTGTACATTTACCTTAACATCGTGCAAGGAAATTCCCAATTTACAATAAGCTCTGATAAAACTTTTATCTTTTAAACCAATTAAAATATGTTTCAGTTTGTAAGAATGGTTTTACTTGGCTGTCATTGCTGAGATAAAGTGATGGAGAAATCAAGGGCATGTATTTGTAGTTCGCGAGAACCACAAGGCTAGGCCCAGAGCCCCGGAGATACAGAGGATGGCCACTGTCCGGAATTTAGAGAGCAATTTGGGGGCTCTTTCCATGCCGTTGATGCATTACGTCAGAAATGAAATGAAGTGTACATAAAATCTCTGACACACCTTTCACTGTCAGCCCTCGTTTCGCTACGCCTATCGTGAAGACCATGGGAAATAAGATTACACAGCCGAGATTTGGCCTCCATGTTAATTTTTAAATCACGCATTTTAGATTTAAGAGTTTCATTTTCCTCCTCTAATTCTGTTAACCTGCGATTGCAGTCAAACGTAAACGTCTCAAACTTGTCATTGAGCGATGAGAACTGTCTGGATCGATTTAGTGTTATAGCGAGATCAGAGAGGGTGATGGCTTGACTGTCCGAGTTATCTGTCACAACACACTGACCAGATACATTTTGAGGGATGGTAAGGTCTGGATACGATTTCCCGATGTTGTAGATGGGTGATTGTATTTTCATGATTCAAATAAAAGTGTTTTCTATTAAAAACAATCCAGGCCCCTCGGCTGGCTATGGCACTGCTGTAGCTTTGGTAACGTAATCGTAATGACAGCCTTATGGAATTTGATATTAACATGCACATACAGATAGAAAGTTGCCCGCTCGGAGACCCTGGTGTGTCCTTGAACCTGTTATTAACCCGATAAATTGTGTGTTTATGATCCCTGTAATAGTATCATTGAAAATGTATCACTTCCGATTTTAAACATGGCTGCTTTGGCATCCACCTTGATATCAACCATTTTGTATTGGAATATATGCAGTAACTAAAGTGTTTGTCAAGAAATGCAGCTTTTTCTTCATCTCACACGTCGGTGGAATAGCTTTAATTGATAACTACATATATTGTGTGATAGATCCTTGATAGTGTGTCTCTAGGAATTGCTTCCATAACTCCTATCCATTTTTTCATTGTCAGTGTGTTACGTACTTAAGTTTTAGTGCTTTTAAACTTTGTGTGTTGCCTAAGACTGAAAGATATACAAAATACGAATGTACATGTAGCCTTTCCTGAAACGAACTGAATAAATACTGTTATTCAGTTTTTAATGGTTAATACAAAAACTCAAGATTGACAAATATAATACACGAATCACTGCAATTACGGTAATCCCAGCGATTATCTCAAAAAACGTGTGTTTATTATGTTTTTGCGTTATACAAGGCTTTCAGTTCGGGAATAATCCACGTCATCTGGAACAAAGGGATCATGTTCACCTTGGTCTTGCTGCGTCAACTGAGGCTGATGTGACTAATCGTGACGTCAGCATTAAAGTTTGTAATTCTAAATACCCAAACGACAAAACCCTTTCCATAATCATAAGACATATCTGTTAAAAGCATTTGTTTCCGTCACAAACACATGCAAAGGCTGGTCAACTGTTCACCTGACAAAGCACGGGAACGTATGGTACAAATCAAAACATGAAGCTGCATTGGACATCTTTTTTTGTCACTGATGTGTGGAATTTCGAAATGTTCTCCACATGTCTAGCATGAAACCTTTTGAAAGCTATACTCTTGAGCAAGAGTTGTATGACGCTTTTTGAAATATTCGTGCAAAAGGCATGCTAGATTTTACCTCAAACTTTGTGACTTGTAGATACCAAAGGCTGGAGCTGGGGCTGCTCGACTTCAAGGGACAGTTGACTTGTTTGTTTGTTTGTTGTTTAACGTCACACTCAGCAATATTCCAGCTATATGACGGGGGTCTGAAAAATAATCGAATCTGGATCAGACAATCCAGTGATTGACATCATAAGCATCAATCCACGCAATTGGAATACGATGACATGCATCAATCAAGTCAGTGAGCTTGACCATCCGATCCCCTTAGTCGCCTCTTACGACAAGCATAGCCGCCTTTTACAGCAAGCATTGGTTGCTGAAGACCTCTTCTAACTCGATCATCACGGGTCAGGACAATTGACTATTGGAACGTCAACACCGTTTTTCATTCAGTCCTGAAGATATATTTTGTCTCTGAATCTTTAAGCAAAGACCTAAATATTAAACAGATTAGTCCATTTAACTGGTCTCTTTTCTTTGTAGCATAGGTTGGCAAATCAGTGGAAGGGAAATGGCTATTGGACCATTTTTGAAATGATAAAACATGTCACCTGCGATAACACACAAAAAATATTGTTTGAACACCACATATGATACATGACACAAGGGATTGTGTGTTTTGAAACTTAAATCTGAGAAGATGAGTCTTTAATTCATCCACACATTTGGAGATATAAAACGGTGTGGCGGAAATTGCAGGCTTGAAATTCGAGGTAACATGACCACATGCATAATGTGACATTGAATAGTATTTTCACATGTCCACTGAAACAATTATCTTCTTTATATGTATGGGGTCAAACACTGAAATATGTCATGCATGTAATTACCACCAACGGAGAAGGAAGTTCGCTCAGTCAGAAGTGGAGATTGTGATATTAGATGGAACTGGATAATTATACATATCTCAAATACCAATGATCGGATATTGGTGATCAGTAGCGTGGACAAACGGACGCACCATGCTGAGTGCTCTTTAAACCAATTGACGCACGGGTCATCCCAACAATTATCGTTCGTAGATTATGGTATATAAGGTAGGTGGAATGAATTAAGAGTATTACTGCTGACGTTTGTGAAGGAACAAACACGAGAATGTACAACGCAACACTTGTCCTCAGCATTGTTTTCTGTTGGAATGTCATTGGTAAGTATATTTCATTTTGCTATGGTCGTACGAGAGGTGAGGTGAAATTGGGATTAACGTCGCGTCCATTATTATTGCACTTATATAGCGACGTGTGTTTGTGTGTATGGCTGCTTGTACTAGTCCGGACTGATGCCGATTTATGGTACTAGCTCACTGAGATACCATGCCGCAGTTTAACATGAATATCCCACTCAGACACAGTATACTGACTCCGAGCCGACAAGTCCTTGATTTAGCCCCTTAATGCCGAGCGCCAAACAGGGTAACAACAAGTACCATCTTTTAACGTCTTTTGGTATGACGTGGCCGGGGATCGAACCCCGGACCTTCCGCTCTCTGGGCGGACGCTCTACCACTAGACCACGGGGGCGGTCCTGGTCCGACGTAGCTGCATATCGTTAATATAGAAAACTGCTGTGCACAAGCTCCTTATTCGAGAACCTTGTACGTAATACTGATGGACAAAAGTAATGCAACAACGCAATATGTTGGAACATTATAGTATAGATACTTCACACTGACAAAATATCACACAGCGAAATCAATGCATATCCGTTACTGGTCATTTGCCAGTACGTTCGGGGTGCGATGTACAACTATGCTTCACCGTTTATAGTCTTAATTTATGTGATGGCCCAGTCATCTCAGGCGCCGCAATTCGCTGTGCAGAGTTGCGTCCTGACAGCACGCCAGAAACCTATGATTGTGGGTTCGAATCCCGGTTTTCCCCAGTTATGTTCCTAGGTTTTCATGGGTTTAACCAAAATGGTTAACGTCGGAGACCTGTATCACTTCGGGCTATCCTCTCACATTAAGCTCACACGCCGTGATATAACTGGAATACTGTTCAAAGCGGAATTAAACACTCACGCACCCACGTATTTTATGTCAATATATTTTCCCTAGGTGCAATCAACATGGCGTTTCAAATTATGTTTGAGGAAATCAGAAAATAATGATTTATCGAAATGTAGACATTATCGTCATATCACCCGTTAAACGTCATCAAACTTCCATGCTACAGGGCGGTCGGGGAGCCTTGTGGTTAAAGCGTTCGCTCGTCACGCTGAAGACTCGGGTTCGATTCCCGACATGGGTACAATGTGTGAAGCCAATTTCTGGTGTCCCCCGCCGTGATATGGCTGGAATATTGCTAAAAGCGGCGTAAAACTCACTCACTCATTCACTCCATGCTACAATTGGCGAAACCTGTTCACGATTATTTCTCACACACAGTATTCGGAGCCACAGTGCCTCACCTGCCCGGTGACATGTCGGGAGCCAACGGACAGAGCATATTCGACTTTGACAAGAACGAAGACGGCGTTGTTAACGGCATGGAGCTGTACAGCGTGTTGACCTACCTCGACGGTAGACTAGGCTACACACCGAAAGAGGCCAGAGTCATTCTCCAATTGGCCGATACTGATGGGGATAACCAACTGGACATTTCAGGTCGGGGCAATCCTCCACTTGTTTTTATGCAAAGGAATTTTAATATAGTGCATACCCGTCAACAATTTCGTGTTATATCAAAATAATAGTTTTATCTTTTCTTATAACAGTGATTTTTCATAATATCATGAATATGTTAATTCATTAATAACACAGTTCATGTGTATTAAAAATGATAAATAAAAGCGACAAAACATTTTCAATAATCATCAGAAATTTCTGTATGATTTCGACTATATGATAAACATGAATTTATGAATCAAATAGTGAAAATGTGACCCACCCTTGGCATAACAAACACATGCCAAGGCAAGTCAATTATTCACCTGAAAAACACAGGAACATATGGTAAATAAATATGAACGGATGATACATTTAAAAGATGGTACTTGTTGTTACAATGCCTGACGCTCAGCAATGAGGGAATAAAGCATGGGTGGTTGAAAGTCTATTTAATAAATGCGAGTGGGGTATCCATGTTAAACATGGTGTCTCACTGGGCAAAGAACTTCAAAAATCTGGACTAGTGCAAACAGCCATACGCATACTTGTATACACATCGCTTTAAGAGTGCAATAATCTTGAACGCGACATTAAACCCCAATTCCCCTCAAGTCTCCTCTAAAAATATGAAGTCGATATTTCACTTGAGTTAATATCACGTCATGCCGCATAAGCCTTTGAACATGTGCCTATTCCTGTTTATCAAATTTCATGACGAGTCATTGGACAAGACATGAAAAGGATCATCATGTAATCCATATAGCTCATTGGAGTATATCAATCTGCCGATGTGACGAATATTGTACAGTAATAAATCTATTCAATAGCGCGTTTCGGGGCGGTGGGGTAGCCTAGTAACTAAAGCGTTCGCTCGTCACGCCGAAGATACGGGTTCGATTCCTCACATTGGTAAAATGTGTGAAGCCTATTTCTGAAGTGATATGGCTGGAACAGTGCTAAAAGCAACATAAATGCATACTCACTCACTCACTCACTCACTCACTCACTCAATAGCGCGTTTCGGTGTGCAATATTTCTTGGTAGATGAAAACGTTAGTAGTATAAGGGAAGATATTAATAACTACATTTTCTTTTCAGATCTTCTGCAGTTGTCCATGCTTGTTGAGACAGAATCACTTCAGCACAAATGACAAGTTAAAAACATATATCGTATGTAACTATTTTTCACATGTATTTGTATAGTTAAGAAAATATACTTTAAAAATAAAATAGTATTTTGCCCCAGTACTGTCTCTAGTTTTATTTGAGTCAAAACACAATCAACGCGGGTGGAACACACCTAGGCGGTTTGGGTTGCCAGACGCGGTGCTGTAGCTGGAATATTGCGCACGTGTTAATGTTTCCTTTACTGAGCCTGTGAACATGTTCCGGTCGGAGAAGAAATTTGAACTACAGTATAGAGGTCATCACGAGAGTCTCGTTTGGAATGGTAAATATCCTGTAATAGGAATAAACCCCACCTGTATTTTGCGACATAATTTCATCCTCAAGTTCATCACAAACGTATTTTCATCTCTCACAAATGGTACTTAAACATTGCATGTTTTCCTGGAAAGTGCAAGATCGGGTTCAGTGACCCATGCTTACCGTAAAAGGCGACTTTGCTTGTCGTAAAAGGCGACTATCGGGATCGGGTGGTCAGGCTCGCTGACTTGGTTGATGCATGTCATCGATCCCAATGTCGGGGATCGAGGCTCATGATATTAATCACTGGACTGTATGGTCCAGACTCGATTAATGATAAACCGCCGTCATATAGTTGGATTATCGCTGAGTGCGGCGTTAAACAACAAACCAACCAACCAACACATTAATATATCCCGTGCAACAGGAATGACATGGAGAAATGCTGAGTATGGACGTGGCGAACAGACAATCCAGGAAGAAAAGCTCGTGATTTCATTAAAATGAACAGACTGTTTCCAGCATGACATTTCATTGGCGGCCTACGCGAGGTCACAGTTTGTTTAACATTGATAAAACGATGTCTTTTCCGCAAGACGAACCACAGGTAGTCACCATAAATAAAGTCCAACCAAATCAACAGTCCCTCCCTTATAGAAGCCGTAACGCAACTTCGTCACAGGGGGACCTGCATCAATTCCACGAACCCAGGTCATCTCGTTCAACGAACTATTCCTTCTGTTTATTATCGGAAGTCGTATGTTTCCACAATCCAAAAATCGTCCTCGGTAAATGACACTTCCAAATATAATACTTACAATTCTTTGTCGTAGATCATTTACTGGACGTCAGACAAATTAACCAACGATTGGTGCGACGACTTGCCCCAGAGGGCTGTTCTGAAATAGTAGCACATCTATGTGAGCAAGACCTCCGACCTGTCAGACAGCACTCTGTTGTGTATTAAATCACGTGCAGCCATGCTGACATGCAGAGGTTGTATTATGACATACTGCTTACGAAATAATGGTTTAACAGAAACCTGGTTTGGACATACGGCACCAGTTTCAGACGCCCAGTGTGATAATAAAAGGTTAGTTCATGTCGAATCATAAATATCACGAAATTGGAGCCATATTCACAATACAAATAGGTAGTGATAGATTTATGGAAATCAGAAATGCCCAAGATGCACAAGCTTTGAGCATAAGGTTTTGCTAAGGTATGCTTGGACCCCAAAAGAGATTAGGTCGTCGGTGCCCGTACACAACGTGTACACAATTGGCATCTACCACCCCATAACTGTTTCTGGAGGCACGCCTGATCGTTCTGTATGGAAACCATAGATACTACATGCAATTGATTAACTCGTGATGGTTTTTCACAACGGTCTGATCGACTTCCATATGTATGTCATGTGCGACATACTTGACCTCCATCGTATTTGGTTTCTGTGATATTTTCACAAATGTGAACAGATGTTAAGTTGAATTACATCAGTAAGTGCACTTAAATTGTACCGACTGGGGGACATCGCTATCCGTGGCATTGTAGATACGAAACGACAACGCCAGTGAATAACCAGTCTCGATTATCCGACGAAACGGATTCTAAAAGGCAAAATGGTGTAAAAATATGTGAAGGGATCTTAGTGATGACATCAGATGTTCGGGAAAAGGGTAAACATGTCCTGTCTTATCGGTAGCACCCGCCACTGACGCAATTATTTACAAAAAGTATGTTGTTTTGCCTCACGCGCATCAGGGCTCCTGTCATGTCACGGTGATATGTGAACAAACCAGACAATCAAGTGATGGAAATCAATTAGGATGATATGCTGACTGATAAACAATTGGCACCATACACCTGTCACGTCCATCTAAATACAGGGGGCACGGGTGGCCGGCCCAGTCGTCTAGGGCGCCGCGATTCGCTGTGCAGAGTTGCGTACCTTTGGCACGCCAGAAACCTATGATTGTGGGTTCGTATCCCGGTTCACCCCGATTATGTTTCTAGGTTTGTCAGCACCATATCCGTGCTCGTGGGTTTCACCGAAGTGGTAAACGTCTGAGACCTGCATCACTTCGGGCTTTCCTCTCACATTAAGCTGACACGCCGTGATTAAATTGGAATACTGTTAAAAGCAACTCACTCACTCACTCACTCATCTAGGTACACGCTCATTAGAGAGTGTCCCGGGCGCTTATTACGTCGAATACGTATATAAATAAAAATGTAAGTGCATTTAATGTGTACATTACCTGCTTGATTCAGCTGTAGTGTGTTCGGTAAACAGCCAGCAAGAAACTACCTAGTTGCCCTTTTCCTTTTATTATCAACCTAAAAGTCAAAACGGTTTATGTAGAATGACAGTATAGACACGACCATGCCGGTCAGGTAGACACGTATCCGGTACAGATCTATCAATACGCCATCAGGTCGGCATTGCACACCACCACCCAAAACTTACCAGCCAGACACAGGCGTAGATTGTTGTCAGTTTGTGTGATAGTGTAACACTGACATTTGGCGTAACGAACCTTCCACAAGATCATATCAGAACAGTGATGAGACGCCACGTGTATCTGCGATCTAGGTTCAGTGATTTCATATACATGACACTATAAATTCACCACAAAATGTCAACTGTTCGCCGAAAGCACTTGTATTTCTCAAAGTTCAACGTCTAAACTTGTAGACGCACGTAAGGTCGGGCACCTTTATACCCCGCACATGGTTGAGGTTGGTGAGTGAAAGAAGAATGTCTAACACGTTTGTCGAGATTTTGGGTCAACATGAAATGATTTAAAGTTGTAGCGAGGACCAATATCCACTCAAGTCAGTCTCGACAAACTATGGCAACCGCCTTGCACAGCCCTCACATGGAACCGTCTGGGAGACTTGTTTCTGATAACATCAACACATATATGCTGATGCGTTTGGAACCTTTCGTAGACTTGTCAAAACCCTTACCATATTCATAAGAAATTTCAGCAGTGTCTATTGTAGATTCCGACTATGTCGTGAGCACAATCAAAAAGTGGTGATACCAGGTTTTCGCGAAAAGGAGAGCGTACCCCACCGTTCGCCTGGAAAAACACGGGAACATGTGGTACTAGTCAAAAATAGGGAACTGCATGATTTTTGTCATGAAATGCGTAAAATTTGGAAATGTCCTCCACGTGTGTACCATAACACTTTTTGAAAGCTTTACTGAGGCCTTGGATGTTGTGACCTTGATCAAACAACTTCTCAGCAGTTTGATGCCGCTTTTTGAAATCTTGGTAGAAAGAGCTTGCTCGGTTGTACCTCTACAGTTTTCAATGTATAGCCAATGTCAGGCTGTATGTGTGTGTAGCTGTATGTGCTGCATATCAGTAGCATCCATAGCCCATGTCAGCCTGTATATGTATTTAGCTGTGTGTGCTGCACATCACTACCATCCCTGGCCCATGTCAGCCTTTGTGTATGAGTAGCTGTGTGTGATGCATATCACTAGTTTCCCTTACCTATGTCAGGTTGTATGTGTGAGTAGCTTTGTGTGCTGCATATCACTTGTTTCCCTTACCTATGTCAGTTTGTATGTGTGAGTAGCTGTGTGTGCTGCATATCACTAGTATCCTTAGCCCATGTCAGCCTGTGTGTGAGTAGCTGTGTGTGTGCTGCATATCACTAGCATCCCTAGCCCATCTAATCCCTTTTGTGTGTGTAGCTGTGTGTGCTGCATATCACTAGTTTCCCTTTCCCATGTCAACCTGTATGTCTGAGAAGCCGTGTGTACTGCATATCACTAGTTTTCCTTACCCATGTCAAGCTGTATCTGTGAGTAGCTGTGTGTGCTGCATATCACTAGTTTCCCTTACCATGTCAGCCTGTATGTGTGAGAAGTTGCGTGTACTGCATAACACTAGTTTCCCTTACCCATGTCAGCCTGTATGTATAAGAAGCTGTGTGTGATGCATATCACTAGTTTCCCTTACCCATGTCAGGTTGTATGTGTGAGAAGTTGCGTGTACTGCATAACACTAGTTTCCCTTACCCATGTCAGCCTGTATGTATAAGAAGCTGTGTGTGATGCATATCACTAGTTTCCCTTACCCATGTCAGGTTGTATGTGTGAGTAGCTGTGTGTGCTGCATATCACAAGTATCCTTAGCCCATGTCAGCCTGTATGTGTGAGTAGCTGTGTGTGTGCTGCATATCACTAGCATCCCTAGCCCATCTAATGCCTTTTGTGTATGTAGCTGTGTGTACTGCATATCACTAGTTTCCCTTTCCCATGTCAACCTGTATGTCTGAGAAGCTGTGTGTGCTGCATAACACTAGTTTCCCTTACCCATGTCAGCCTGTATGTGTGAGAAGTTGCGTGTACTGCATAACACTAGTTTCCCTTACCCATGTCAGCCTGTATGTATAAGAAGCTGTGTGTGATGCATATCACTAGTTTCCCTTACCCATGTCAGGTTGTATGTGTGAGTAGCTGTGTGTGCTGCATATCACAAGTATCCTTAGCCCATGTCAGCCTGTATGTGTGAGTAGCTGTGTGTGTGCTGCATATCACTAGCATCCCTAGCCCATCTAATGCCTTTTGTGTGTGTAGCTGTGTGTACTGCATATCACTAGTTTCCCTTTCCCATGTCAACCTGTATGTCTGAGAAGCTGTGTGTGCTGCATATCACTAGTTTCCCTTATCTATATCAGCCTGTATGTGTGAGATGCTGTGTTTGCTCCATATCACTAGTTCCCCTTACCCATGT